TCATCATTGTCGATCTTGGTTTCGATTTCTTGGGCGATTTCTCAACTTCTGATGTATCAAAGAGCTCCTCCAAAACATCGTAGTTGACTAACCTACTAAGTCTCTTTTTGTCAAGCGTTCTGCGAACAGCTTCCATCGCTGTGGCTGGAGGAGGCACATTCTTTGCTTCCTCAGCCCGTATTCGTCGTTTTTCCTTTCTAGATTTTGCCACAGCTGCTTTAGAATCTTGGAAAAGCATTACTGCATATTCTGGACTATTAGCATTGCTGGCGTTTGATGCTTCACCAGCCACCGCTTGGTCCCCAACATACTCCGGGTATAATGCTTCCCATGCGGTCTTCATCGCAACCTTTTCATCCTCGTTTAAAAAAAATCCAATCCAGTTCAGTGTCACTAACATCATTAAAGTTGCCTGATTCTTCACAATCATCAACATGTCCGTCATCTCCATTGTTTTCTACTTCATCGTTCTCCGGACATCGTTGTTCTCCCTCGTTTTCTTCTCTAGAAGCTTTTTCCATTCTCTCTTTCTCTGCTCGCTGGAAAGCAGGAGGATCCAAACCACCAACAACTCCACCACAAACATTTTCGAAATCATTGTAGCAGCTCTTACATAATCCACAATCAAAAGGTTTACAATCCTGGAGCATACAGAGCACTCTTTCTTTGTCAGAATGTGCAGCTTTCACTGTAGAAGAACGTTTGTGCAATAAGCTTTCTCTTCACTGAGCTCATCAACATTTAAACTAGCAGCCTCTGTATTTCCAAACTCGATCAATCTTTTCATTAGAGTTCCTTCACATATATGCACAATTTTGACGATATCTGTTTTAGGGCACTTGATACCATGAGAAAGAGCAGCTATGTAAAGTGCTGCTCCACATATTCCACTTGGTTTCCGACCGGTCTGCATCCAATTTCTCTTCATACTTAGCTATAATGTCTTTAGCTGTTTCCACTACAGCTTTATTCTGTGTACCTTTCAATAAAATGTTTGAGAATCGAGGAATGAAAATCGAAGGATCAACAAGCTTCTCATAGTTCCTATTCTCTACAAGGTAGAGCATCTCACAGAGTTTCAAGTACACATAACCTAACTCGTAAACGCTAACTCGAAGATAACTCGAAAAATCGATAAGAAGAAACGGAATGTCCTTTTCCCTGCAAGTCAAGTAAAGGCAAGAAGACTGAACTAGCTCTGTTCTGCGTCCTCTAGTGAAGTTTTGTTCAACAGCCATTGTAAAGAACCTAGTAGCCATGTCAATCACATCATCTCTCTCGTCACCAATTCCTAAGGCATCTCTTAGATTCATAAACTCATCTCTAACTATTCTGATTCTCCTTTCACGTGAGCTTGAAATCAGACTATCAACACTCCTCACTATATTACCTGATGCTTGGCTATGTCCAGCTGCATTCTTAACGAATGTATCTTCAGTAGAAAAGTTGAAATTTTCTAATACCATTTCATATAAATTACATGACAATGCACCATCGTAAGGTTGTATTCCGGTAACGTTCTTCCCACAGTCATTACACCAAACCATAGCTCGGTAATGGAGCTTGTCGGCTCAAGGACTTTAAAGTTCTCCTTAGGTTAGGGATTCAAGAAACAGATATTTGAGTTAATTAGGTTTTGATATTCGGTTAATGTTGTTGTTTGGTCTAATTAAAAAAACAAAATTATTGTTAGCATAAACCGGCAAAGATCAGACCAAATCAAACTG